TTGACTGATACCTTTTTAAACTAGCGTTATCGAATGGATCTTGAAATGATCTTATAATTTTTGCACGATGCCAACTTTTTTCGATAATGTTTTGATTGTTATATTGTAGTGTCCTTTATATTACAGTCTCCAATTATCAAATGCCTGTCATATGATTCAATGATTATTGCATTCGTTCTCGAACTGATCAGCATCTCTTAATAGAGTTACACTTTTTTGTAATTGAATTAACATCACCTTTTGTTTCTTTTTTAGAAAACAAATGGAATTTCAAATTGTTTTCTGAAAGAGATACAACAATTGACGATCGCGCATTAGTTACGTATCTGGCGTATGGTACCAATGCGCTTTTTGTTTTTGTTGACCACTGCTTCTACTAAATTTGCTAGAAGGCAAATCATCTAAAAAAATATATTTAAAAGAACCATAAAAGCTCAAATTAGAGCGACACAAAACATCGGGATAATGTAACCCACCCGTCGATCCCAAGCATAACCTAATCGTGGTGGCGCAGTCGTCAATGGGTTAAGCTAACATATAACAAATCATGAAAATTTGCAGAGTCGTCCACAGAATAATTCTCATCATTTTCCACAATGGGTGAGATTGTAATGTTTACAAACTTCCATCTAATGCTAGAATGTGTCGCTTTGCTATAACTACAAAATTACGAAAATGTTATGTGCCGAATCATTAGCGTCGAATTTCGGTAATGCAAAGAAACTGTTACATATCGTTATCAATTTTTGAGAGTCCTTTCTTTCACTTTTAGTTCTACCTGAAAGCCAGATCAAGTTGATCCATTCTGTGTATTTTTTTCGGCTTACATCTTTATGGAATTTTCTCTGTGTCGCAGATAGCAGCAAAAATAGTTAAGAAACATCTTGAAACGTCTTTTGCTTCTCTTACTGCTTCGGGACTTTGGTAGAATCTTGTGCTTCTTATGTTTGTTTAATGTCTAATTGTTCTTGAAACGCGGGTGTATGGTGTGAAACCGAGTGGTCCCATTGCTCCTCAATCAATCAGCAAGCCATCCTGTACTCAACACTATTACGCTAGAACAAGCAAATATCTCTCAAGATTCTCTTTTCCTTCATTGCTCCCCTTTTCGCTTCTATTTCTGAGCGGTTCTTGCGCATTGGCTCATGTAATGACGGCTTTGATCAGATGGCTTGTTGACTCTTTACCTCATTCACAATCGATATAGACGCTGCACATTAACAAATCATAAATACTCTGCACTTAATGTCTTTTGGGCGTCCCATTTATACAACAGGGTAACTTCAAGGACATAACAAAGACTGACTGCAATTTTAGCATGCCTCATCTGCTTGTCCGGGAGAAGGACCACCGCAGATGCGAAAAATGTTCATTGGTGGCCTTAGTCATGAAACAAATGACGACGCGGTGGGTGATTGCTATCGAGGGTGCATTGTTTTGCTTACAATTTTACACCTATCGTTTTTTAACTTCCAGTTGCGAGTCTATTTTACGCAATGGGGACCTGTAGTGGATGCAATTGTTATCCGCGATCCAGCTACAAAACAGTCGCGTGGATTCGGATTTGTTACGTTTGCTACAATTGCCAGTTTGGAAGCGGCCATGATGGATAGACCGCATGTTATTGCTGGAAAAACGGTGAGCTCAAGTTAAGGAAGTTAGTAAGGGACGTCTCATGTGGAAATTATGACATAGATTTACTCACGTTCAGGTAGATTCAAAACGGGCTATTCCTCGTGAGCAGATGACCCCAATGTTCCCTCCACCGTTTTTTGCATGTGAGCAAGCACCAGGATGCAAGCTTTTGCTGTCAGGTATATAAATAAGTTTTTTGGGACAGTTTTTTTGTGGTGTTGGAGTGCATTTTATTCGATTTTTATATTGATATTCATTTTCTAATGCGCTTATTTTTTCCTGCTCTTCAAATTCTGTTCTGCGATTTAGGCCTTAATTGGGACTATCACCGTGTAGACACACTCCGTGTGTATTTTGAAAAGTTCGGGTCACTAGATCAGGTTAGAATGTAAGCTTTTGAATTTAAAAAAAACATCTTTCCTTTCTTAGGTAGAAATCTTGGGTGACCATCGTGGTTTTGGTTTCGTTGTTTTTGAAGATAAGCAGAGCGCGGACAAATGTCTGAATGAGAACAATGGAAGGCATATTATAGCTTCAAAAAGAGTCGATGTTAGGGTAGGTGTTTTTACTTTTCTGATAGATCGCTTTCTGACTCTGCTTTGACCGTAGCCTGCCCAAACAAAGTCGGCCACATGTTGTCGGCTACGGACTTCTTCGAGAGGTGCCTCATCTTCTTGAATGGGAGGCGTTTACTTGTGTGTAAACGCAAGCATTGCGCGCGGCAACAGCGGTTAGTGGATCGGACACTTCGGACAGCAGAGCTGCATCGTGCAGACTCATGCAAGGCAACCTCAGTATATTGAATCGCTTTGACTTCGAACACAATTTGAAAGATTTGAGCGAAGAAATGAGGCGTACTACTTGCTGTCTATAAATATCAAGAAATAACGTTAGAAAAACCAAAAACCACGGAATCTTTTGAAGTATTTATATACCGAATTGTTTGAGCCATTGAAATATGACTTCATTTTGAACACTCACTTGTGGAAAGTTTGAAATGGTTTGATTCTGTAGACAAGAAGTTGTTGTACCAGAAGAGAATAGAGGAAAACACGACGTTGTTGCAAACGTTACTTAGTTACTTTCCTCCAAATAATTCAAATGGCAAAGAACATTAAAAGTGTGATATAACTCTCTACGTCCTAACAACGAAGAGGTAGATTGTAGCAGTCTTATGATTGCCAAGCTAAAGGAAAAAACAATTAGCGTTTTTTACAGGAATTGTAATAGCATAGCATTATGATACTTACCTAAGAGGCCTCGATCTCCAGACTGAAACTCCGTATCCTTGAGCAAGGTCTGCAATGCTGGGACGAGGTGGCACCCGCGC